GAATCCTGAGCTAACAAAATTCAAGCATAAATTTACAGCATACCCTAGCAATTAACATGGGCTGGGATACTTCTTGAATTTTGATTCTCAAACTTTATAGAATATTCAGATCAGTCAATACAATGCTTTTTGAAAGATGCTTATGTATGGAAAATATATATTCACATCCTAAAATCTCAATACAACACTGCTAACAAATGGTGTGCAGAGGCCTGAGATACCAGGTGTCAACAAAGAAGACATACAGACATTACTATGCGAAGTAGCTGCTTGTTGGCAACCTTATTGTTTGATGTTCTGGAAAAATAGTGTGTTTTTCATACTACTTCTGTATTACTTACAAAGAGGAAATTTTACTGTTTTTGTAACATTGCAGTAAATTAGAAGTTTGAGTTGAGGAACAATGCATTATACTTTTCCTGTTTAAAATAATAAGGAATAAGCCCCTGCGTAATGATTTTGTGCAGAACATCAGATTTTTGGAATGGACTACTGCCATGTGATGGAAGATGCCTGTATTTTCTTGGATACTTTCACCCAAAACCCATCAGCAAGCTTCTCCCTGGGCTTTTCTGATTTGGTTATGTTCCAGCAGCTCATCTGTTCTCAATCTCTACCCTTGATTCTTGAATCCTTTCTTGCCTCCTCCTCTTCCAATTCCCCTAATTGTGGTCATTCAGGTCATCCACCACTGCCTCTCTTATTTTTCATGCTATCCATTTTTCTTTCCCATCTTTTGTTTATTTTACTTTCACCAAGGGGATATATGCACATAATCTAAAAAAATAACAAATGGAGCTCAGAGACTTAGAACAACAATGAAACACAACAATGAAAGCAGTCCCCAGCTCTCACCCTCTTACCCCTATCCCCAATGTGGTGTGTATAGAGGCAAGCAATTTCAACTCTGTTCTTGCTTCAAATGACCAAATACTCTGGGTGAAACATTATCGCCTGGTTGTTTCATTTGAAACTTTATCTATTGCTCTCCTGTCATGGTCAACAAGGATTTGGCTACCTTTCCTTTACCCCTCCCATCTATGAAAAATCTTGTTTAAAACCTTATTCACTGCATTAATTATTGAGGCTATTTTTCACATTTGGGACAAATACTGAAAATTATTTTCTTTCTTGCCCAATTTTTTCTGTTTTTCTTGTATCTAACAATTGCCTAATTTCCTCAGTTGCTTACTTTATTTATATATCTAGCTGAGCCTCCCCACACTCTACAAGTGCTCTATGAAATCATTCTCAATCCATTTTTCACAAGGTTGAATATGTTAAACTTATCAATTTTTTAACTGATAAGATTTGTAAGTTCCATTTCTTCCTCTCCCTCTTTTCGTTTTAATCTGTATTGTTTCTCAACTGCTGGATGTTATGGGTGTTGTGTTGGGATTTCCCTTAACCAATATTCTATCAATAGCCAACTCTTCTCTTCTTTATTGGATTTTCCTCTTCCTAATTCACATGTCATCTTCTTTCTTGGTTTAATCCCTAGTTTTGGTGGATTGTACCCTTTCAACACTTAGACTTTGCATGTTTAAAATGTTTTAAACTATCCTCATGCTTGATTAACACACTTAGATATTCTAAGCTAAAATTCATTGTTATTTTAAAGACATTGCTCTGTTGCCTTCTGACTTCCAATACAATTTTTGAAAATGATCTGTTGTTTTGACTATGATCTTTTTTTTACTATGATCTCTTTCCCTTCTTTACTCTTGCATCTCAATCAATAGTATGTTTTCTATCAACACTTGAGTTTCAAAATTCATAGATGATATGCTTTGGCTTGGCCTTTTTCATTTATTATGCAAATACCCAGTAAGCCCTTTGAATCTGAGAGTTCACATTTTCACTTTGGAGAATTATATTTAAAAAAAAATATTCTAATGATTGTTTTAACTAGTTAGAAATTTTCTGAAACTGACCCATAAATTTTCTTATTTTCTCTTTCTCTTATTGTTTATCCCTTTTTCTCTAATGCTATGAGACAGTTCTAAATACTTTTACTGATTTTTTAGTTTTAGTGATCATATTTTTAATATTTAAAAGTCCTTTTCTGTACTTAGTTTTTTTAAATATTCTTTTTTCAAGGAGTTGTCACTTTCTTTTTTATCTCTGAGGGCATCATGTCTTCTTTGAAGCATTCTACTCTCAGCATTGTCTTTGTTTCTCTTTGTTTATTTGTTTGCTTCATTTTGGACACTTTCTTCCAAAATCTGATTATCCTTTGATGCCCTATCATATTTAAGAGTGAGTCACTAACAAGTTGATGAGAATCTTTGAAAATGGACTTTTAACAGGGTCCAGAGGAGCTGAAGAATTTTTATGGCAGGGGTGTCAACAAATGTCAGTGTCAACAGGTTTTCTCTGGGACAGCTCTGTTTTCTATGAGAAGAATCCTCCGGCAATCCTGGTAGATACTTACAGAGTGGTAAGACTGCCAGTGTTGTCTGCTAGAACTGACCAAAGGAAAGGAAGGAGAGTGTCCTTTAATCCCCCAGTTTTCAATCTATCTCTTGTCCTGTCTCTCTCAATGCTCGGTGTTCCCAAGTCCAGGAAGTCTTTGGTTGTTTCTCTAGAGACTCTGGCATAGATAAGAGAAATGACCCCAGGTAAGAGAAAGGGCTTTGAGGGTCTAACTAATCCTCATAAAGACCTTCAATGGTAGAGTGTTTGCATAGCATGCACAAGACCCTGGGTTTGATTCTCAACACCAAAAGGGAAAAAAAATAACCTGCATACCATATTATCCTGCTTTCTTCTTAAGCCATCCAAAGAGTCATGGGAGGAGTCAGCTTCCTTCCATCTACATCTCTTTCCACAAGCACTTGGCTTTGACCTTTCTCCCTTCTGCTAAGTCATACACTATTCTTCCATCCACTTTCCATCTTTGCGTTTTGTGGTTTAGGGTTATTTATGTCTTCTTGGTTTCTCAAAGACAGAGCTTATATTTCCTTTTCTTAAATTTCCCTGTTGTTTGGGAATGACTTTTGAGAAAAGATTGAAAAAGGAACAGAAAAAGAAAGAATAGATATGTCTTTATTCTGACATCTTGAAACCAGAAGTCTTTAGCCTTTTCTTTCTCTAAGTCTTTTCTACCAGGACTATCTGGATTCATAATTTTTGCTTTCTAGATTATGTGTGGGACTAGCCATTTTGTTTTTCCAGTTTCAGATATGCAACATTTAGTTTATTAATGAATTAATAATTTCTACATATACTTATTATATCTCATTTAATTGTTAGCTAAATGGGGTATAGAGATGTAAAACAATTGGTAGAATATTAGCCACCGATCTCTTGTGGGACTTGGTGACCCATTCAAATAGGCGGATTATTCCATTGGTGCCCCTGTCTGTCCTCATATTTCTCCCTGCCCCAGGAGGCTGACCTCAATAGAAAACTTCCCCATCCATTCCCTCTCATTGCCATTTCCATTCATGTCCTTTTTTCCCCGTCTTACTGGATTTCTAGCAACATTATTCCACAGTCCTTGTTCCTAAACTAAAATGACTTCAAGCTTTGCAAAGTTGCCCTTCCTAACTGGTTCCTTTGACCTTATGTCTCTGTAAATATTCTCTTTATTAAGCTCTCTTTAGTTAGACCCTATATGCCATTTTTTCCCTAGCAGGGCACTAACTGATATATCAATAAAAAAGAATTTTGAACTAGCTCATCTCTAAAGTCCCCTGAGTTCTCACAAGGAAAGTTAGGATATACATATGCTTTTTATGCTACAGGCATTGGAGTCACATAGCTCTGAGAAAAATATTCTTTATTTTGAAAAACAGAGATGGCAAGAATTAATTCCAAAAAATTCAAGTGTTTGTTTTTTTATCTTCTTTTCTTTTTTCCCCTTAGAAATTCCTATTATCAAGGGGCAGAAAAAATGTGAAAAGTAAGCTTCTCTAATCCTCCCATTAAAGAAGAAATGAATTCCTCCCCCAACTTCTCTTCTCCCTACACCCCTCTCCCACCACTATGGGGTGGGCAGTTTTGCTCCAACATGCCCTTCTGCCAACAAATTGTTCCAGGGAAGGTATATTTTACCTATGAATTTCCTTTCCTCCAATTTTCTTCTCAAAAAACAACAAATAATAAGTACGCTATCTTTCCTCCCAAATGAGCCATTGCTTACAAAGGACTAATTAATGTATACTTACAGATAACTAAAGAAATTTCTGTCTAAGCCTTTGCTTTCTCCTTCATTCTCACTTTCTGCCTACATATAAAATTTTCAAAATAAAAGTTTAAACATGTTTTAAAAGACTAAGAATATGGTTAACTTTCTCTTGATCTGTCTGATGCCCAATCTGTTCTAAGCCATCTATAAATTTGATAGTTATGTACATGGGTTAAAAAGAAGCTATGATAACATTTTATTTGAAGCAGAACACCAAAGCATTAATTAAAGCTAAGCACACCCACTCTGAACTGCAAAGTCAAATTTATGTGAACTTGTAAAGTTAAGGCTTTCTGACCTCTCGTAGGGCTTACATTCCCTTTAAATAAGCATTTCCACTTTGTAAGCAATATTTTTAGTTTTATTTCAGTGACTGATCTTCTGGCATAGATAGTTGTTGTTCAGGTCCTTTTTACCTGGTGTTTACCCCTTTTACCTACTGCTCATGGAATATTTAAGGTTTGGAATGAAAATAAGTAGATCCAATCACTGAGGCCTAGAGTAAATTTAACTTGTTAGTGAGATAATCTTTTTTAAAAAGATCCTTGTATTCAAACTCCATATTTAACCCAAGAGTGTTTTAATATAGTAATGTCTAGATCTGTTGTTCATTCACTGTTTGGAGAACATAAGCAGCCTTACAGTGATTAATCATAAGCAGACTTGGTAAGTTATAGTGCTTGCACACATATATAGTCCTTTCTGGCAAGACAAGATTTTTTGATCAAAGAAGACATCCTAATTTTGAGATTCGAATGCTAATGCCTTAAGAGAGGAGTCTGTGAGGTTTACAATCACAGATAGTTACCTTGGATAAGTTCATTCCCAGCATTGTGAGTGTCACTAAGCCAGCACAACAGACCAAAGCACTAGAGCTCGAGAGGCCAGAACTTGGTGGGATATTTCCATCTACCAGGCAGTTCATTCCAGCCGGGTTACTAAGACCAAAGTGCTCCTAAGAGTATAAAGAAGAATAGCAATAGCAACTTCAGCATTGGATTCAAGAAGCATAAAACCTTCTTTCATTCCTCAGAGAAAAAAAGTACATCAATAGACTTACTATAATATATACAGAATCTAGTTATGACATTCAATTAGTGTAGACTACATAATATTTAATAGCTCTTATCTACAGGGTAAGGTAATTATTACTTTGTGCAACAAAAAGCTACTGAATTATTTCCTAAAATTGCCTGAGTGTTCTTTTTCCTTGAATATTAATTTATTTGAACAAATATGGACAAAATATAAAGTGACTATAATTCAACTTGTCGAGCACAAATACACAATTGTCAGTGAAGTAGCTTAAAACTCTATGTAGTGCACCTTCAACACTCTGTTATGAAAGTCTGAACTCCAAGCAGTGGCTTGTTTCCACAAGTGTCTTGCTTCAGAAGGCCCTCTAAAAAAAAAGCATTCCAAACTTTTTCAATTCTGTCTTACTTATAGAAAAATCTAAGCACAAGGGGATTAAGAGACTTTCCCAAGATCACACATAGGGAGCTGGGAGTGGGGCCCAGGTCTCTGATTCCCAGTTGCAAACTTCTCCACTGCAGTTAGAAACCTGCGCCAGCAGACTGTCACTGTGATTTAATGTAAGTCAGCTATATGAGGAAATCCAGATTTTTTACGAGAGTTTGTAGATATAATTTGGCCATATGGTAGCTTTAAAGACAGCCAAATTAGAATTCAGCCACAAATGACAATGCAGGCTCCAAATAAGGCAGGGGAACTCTGTTTCTACAAACAGATAAGCTCACATAAATAATCAAACTATGATTTAAAGTAGAAAGCTCTAATATATTTTCATGAATATCTAAGACTAGGACCCTTTGAATGATACCATATCATAACCTTTGTGGTTTAGGATTAAAAATTAATTCAAGACCACCTCTTACTCCAGAAAAAGTGCCCTCATCTTCACAAAATACTCAAACAACTCAAGATCAAAGTATGAAATGCTATTATGTTACCTAATTATGCATTTCATAATACATATTATTCTAGGGAGAAATTTCAATAAATAGTGGGAATAACTAAAGTAACAACAAAACTTTGCAAATAGAAGTTTTATTTTTTCTTTATAAAAGGAAAAATATGGGGGGGTTTTCCTTTAATTTCTTTGTCCTTTTTCTGAGATGGCAAAACTCTTGCGCCACAAAAGAAGAGATTCTGTTGGATGTACTTCTCTTCTTGATTTCAAGTCATCTAAAAATTTATTTCCAGAAATACAAACAAATTATAAACTGAAAAGTGCTGCTGCCAATGCCCCTTCATACAGAGCATCAGACAGCTTGTTTAAAAAAGTAATCCTTAGAGAATACTATAGCTAACTATAAACCGATCCACAGGGTGTCTTGAATGTGAATCATACTTACACACTTATCACACAATGTTTAAATTAAATGTACAACAGATTCAAAAACCCAAACGTGTTGTGCCAAATTCTGTAATAGCTCTATCCCAGAAGGATAGCATGTTCAATTTCATATAAACAGATTATCCTCTGGAACTTTCTAGTATTTTAATTTGTAGGTTTCTGAACAGGCTAACATTTAAATTACTTTTTTGCCAAAAGCTCATTGTACAAACCTGCTTTTTTACACATAAGTTGTTGAACCAAAGAGGAAGACTTTAAGCCGTAAAAGGCTCAAAACAACATACACTGTTTAGGCCTCGTTACCATATGCTACAAAAAGGCATATTGTTATAAGGAAGATCACACTGCATTTGCCATGCGAATACTTCCAAATTCTATAATTCCCACTAATGTGCATGGCAAGCCAGGCGATTTGAAGATTTAAAACCTATCAATAACTTTTCCCAGAACTTATTACCATGTGTCTGGGAGAAAGACACATATTCAAGAAAGAAAGAAAGAAATCCTGTAATGCTAATACTAGACCTCCACAGTTAGAGGACAGAACTGCACATTAGAAATAAGTTTGATGCATATATCAAAACACTGAGTCCCTGCCACTCACAGGCTTCTGACAGGACCACCAAGCAGTTAGGAAAACAAGCTCTCAACCAGCAAAAACCCTTGTTCCTTCCTATTATTGCTTATACTCTCTCTACAACAAAATTAGAAATAAGGGCAAAATAGTTTCTGCTGGTATGGGGGGGGCAGAGTGGGTGGTAAGGGAGGGGGTGGGGGCAGGGGGGAGAAATGAACCAAGCCTTGTATGCACATATAAATAATAAAAGAAAAATTAAAAAAAAAAAACAATTTCTAAATTTAAAAAAAAAAAAACCACAGCTTGTTTGCTTCTGACTCACAAAGACAGAAGACACCTCTTAATGTCCTTTACCTATCACTGTATACAAGAGTCACTACATCAAAAACAGTGCTTGATGTGCACACTGTTAGAGCTTGGAGTAAGGTCACAGCTGGCCAATGAACCCACAAGTGTAGGTAGCATGCCACATTAGTGGCAAGCTTTTAACTAACATTCTACTCTAGCCCAGTGAATGGAGCTTGACAGTAACCCATGCTACAAGTATGAAAAAAGAAAAGAATTATTAAACTATAAAAGCTGATCTAAAATATTGATTTTTTATTTGTGCTTCCTACTTCTTTAATTATGAAAGTGGAAATATTTCATTTGCCTGTTCATCTTCAAGATGTTAGAGATTTTCAAGGTAACCATTCAATGTTTCTAGAAACTTCTTGTACTAAAACATTTCACTCTATCTTTTTTTCTTTTTTAACTCCACCTGGACTAGCAGTAACAATACTCTACCATTTGCTGAATGCCTACTGGTGCCAACCACTATGTCATCCTTCCAACAACTCTTTGTTGGGATAGTAGTGACATCATTTTATAGATAAATCTGAGACTTAAGTTAAATTAACACAGCTGGGTAGAGTCCAGATTCAAATCCATGACTGTTTGACTCTAAATACCATTACAGCATACTTCTATATATCCTGAGAACAAATGTAAATAATATTACTAGAATATATCTTCAACAGAAAATATCAAAAAAAAATTTTAAACCAGACAGATGTCTGTCCGATGTACCTGATTTATGAACAACAGCCAGTTTTTGAAAAGACCACAACTGTCCCCTGTGAACACCACCCAGAAACAGCCATATCTTCCCCACCCTCTGAAATATAGGTCAGCAAAATAGAAGAGAAACACCAGTTAGTGTTGAAAGGAGACAAAAATGATATAATAAATAAATTTGATGTAACTCACATCATAATCTCAACTGCTAGAAGGTGCTTTATAAACTAGTTTACCTGAATTCCTTTAAATCCACATAGGAAATAGTTGTACCACAAAGGCTTGGTTTTGTCAATCTGAATGTTATTAGCACTAATACTGAAGTCCCTGCAAAAACAAAAGACACCATTAATTTAAATCATGTCTCGAACTGCAAAAATTAATGGCTGACTGCTGCCATCTTGTGACAAGATAGTGATACTGAAATCTCTTTTTCCATTTACTTTCAATGTATGTACTTCAGTCTACCCCAAAATAATGAACATCTCCAGCTGCTAACAGTTAAGAAAGGAAGTCGTAGTGGACTTAATGACTAAACTACCTCTGACTCTTTTTATTTCCTGAAACAAAAAGTAATCAATATACGTTAGCATAAGCTACAACCATCTTCTCTTTCATGTTGGTCCTTGTTAAGCTGGTGTGAACCACATGAATGCTTTATCTCCTGGGCCTGCTGTTTGGCAGATCCCCAACTGAAACAGGAAGACTCAAAGCCCTCTTTCCTCCACTCCCTGCTACCCACCCAACTTGACTATCTGCACAGTTTAAGAAAAAGAAGTAATACGCAAACAAATAATTATTCTAATAAATTATAATCCAATGAAAAAATAAGATTCTGTGAGTCTATACTGATACAAATTAACAAGCGAATAAATAGAAATGAAGGAGAAGGAAAAACTCTTACTAAAATGCCAATTAACAGATATAAGAGAAATGATGAAAATGTAAAAATCACTACATGATGAATTCTATAACTTTTTCAGAAAACAATCATTAATGAATACTAAAATTAAAGACTAAAAAAATTGTATTTACATAGACTCAAGTATTTTCCCCACCAGATACTGATTAATTGGAAAGAAAAAAACCAATAACTTTATATTTGAAAAATCTGGCAGACAACTTGATCAAAATTAGTACCACAAGGGCCAGGCTCAGTGGCTTGTGCCTATAATCCTAGCTACTCAGGAGGCAGATATTGGGAGGATCTAGGTTCAAGGTCTGCCTTAGCAAGACATCCCCCCCCCTCAATCAATAAGCCAAGTGTGTTGGCACACACTTGTGATCCTAGCTACCCAGGAGCCCTTAGGCACAAGGATCATGGTCTGAGGTTGGCCCTAGACAAAAATGTGAGACCTTACCTGAAAAAATGACTTAAGCAGAAAAGAGGATGGAGGCATTCAAGCTGTAGAGCACCTACCTAGTAAGTGTGAGGCCCTGAGTTCAAATCCCAGTATTGCCCCAAACAATTAGCATCACAAGTACAGAAACATCATGCTCCTCTTTGGTATGGTACACTCAGGATATATCCTCGAATACGTGTGAATTTTGTGAGTCACTTGTAAGTAAAAAAAAATACTCAAAAATAAAAGATGATAGATCCATAGATAAGTAAACTCATCAGAAAGCTACAATATATAGCAGAAAAAGAGGAAATGAAGCAACATTCCCGTATTGACTGAGTGTTCTCCGTGTAACTTACTAAATATCTACTATGTGCCAGGCTTGATCTTGGATAATCTCCATAAAACATTTAATGACTGACCACCTAAGTATGCAAGGCATGCAGAGAAAAATAAAAGAGGCAGAGGACTTGTCTTTTAGGAGGGTAAAATCTAGACAACATGAACACAAATCACTTCCAGACAGAGATTTTACACGATAGTATGTGATACTAAGCAGTATATAAGGCTAAGGGGATATTATTTCTACAGTCAACACTGGGTAGAGAAGAAAGGCCTTTCAGGAGGCAAAAATGTTTAGTGACTTTCCAAGGGTACAGTCTGACTCCAGCTCACAAGCACTTTTTTCTATCATACCCATATAAGCTAAAATATGTCTCCCATAGTCAACAAGGGTCATGGAATTTAGAAGCAAATAAAGTCATGTTAGCAAGTCTGATGGGTTCTGTTGTTAGCTAAGAGGAGATTTTGAAAGTCACAAAGGCCAGAAAGAAATGGGGGGAAGGGTTATTTTAGGAGGTTTTTAAAAAAAAAACTGCTTATTGATTATTTATTTCTTCTGCTTTAGTATCTTTGTCTTGTTTTCTACTTAGTCTTTTTCTGAGGTTCAAAAATAGACATTCATTTTCACACCAACCCTCTCTCCTACATTATCAGCAATCTGCTTTCTTCACTTCTGCTCTCATGTTGCAGAATTCTGAGAATAAAATTCCTGCTAAATGAATAGACATGACTCACTAAATTTATACTTTCCACCTGTACTTTCGTTATTTTGGTTGTAGTTGTTTTAAAACACAATCTCATTATGAAGCCTAGACTGGCTAGGAACTCACTGTATAGCCCAGGCTGGCCTTGATCCTCCTGCCTCAACCTCCTGAATGCTGGGATTACAGATGTGAACCACCATGCCTGGCTCCCAATTATACATTTTATTCATTAATTCACTTGTTCTTCCAATGAACATTTTTCAAGTGTCTATTCTGTGTGTGTCTAGTACTGGGTTAGATCATTATAATAACAACAGCAATGAAAAATATGAAATACTTGGAAAGATGTACAAGACATGTATCCTGAAAACAACAAAATACTTCTGAGAGAAAAGGAAAAAGACCTAAATAAATGGAGAGATATACCATGTTCATGGTTGAAAGATTCAATAGTGTTAAGATTTGCTTCTCCCCCAAATTAATCTATATATTCAATACAATCCCCCACCAAAATCCTGGCATACTTTTTCATAGAAATTGAATAGTTAATTCTAAAATTAATGAAGAAATTAAAAGCCCTAGAATGACAAAATCACTTTGAAAAAGACAACATAAGGAGACTTATATTACCTAAGTTCAGAACTGCTTATACAGCTACGCTACCAGAAAATGCGCTCTTGTATTGATTTGTTTCTTTACACACAAATGGTGTGAGATAATTGGATAGAATATGCAAAAAATAACTCTCAACCCTTATTTCATGCCACGTATAAAAATGAACTCAAAAGGGACCATAAATCCAGGGGTAAGGGCTAAAGCTATACAGTTTCTGGAGGAAAACACATGGGGATGGGGGTAAATTAAGTGATCTTGGGTTTGACAAAGATTTCTTTAATACAGTCAAAAAGTACAAACTGAAAGAAAGAAATACACAAGGACTTCATCAAAACTTAAAAATTTCCCTCCTCAAAAGACACTGTAAAGAAAGTGAAAATCCAAGCTACAGACTAGATGAAAATGCTAGCAAAATATATACCTGATGAAGGACTTGTGTCTACATTAGGAATTCTTACACATCAAAAATAGAAGATGAAAAAGTAACTAAAAACGCATAAAAAATTGGAACAAATCCTTCAACAAAGAAGATACCCATACGACTACTGGCCATGACAATACATGAGCAGTTGTTTGATGCCATTAGTTAGAGAAATTAAAATTTTATTTTTTTTCCTTTTTGCTGCCAGCATTTTTATTATCAGATTATTATTGTACTGGGAGTACATTGTGACATTTATAAAAGTGCTTACAATATATCTTAGATTCACCCCCTCCATCATTCTCCTTTATCCCCCCTCACCTCATTCTTAGCTTAGTTTCAACAGGTCTCATTTTTCCATTTTCATATTTTTCCATCATATTCAACATGCTACACACTTTCCTTGTATCCTCCCCCTTCCCACTGGTACTAACCTGCAGACAGGACCTGCTTTACCTTCCTGTCCTCTATTTTTATTTGTTTAAACATCTATACAGAGAGTTTCCTTATGACATTTACATGTATATAAGTATTATATCCCAGATTGGCTCATTCCTCCCCACACACACACCCATTCTTCTTTTTTCTACCTTAGTCCTCTTCTTATGATGATTTCAATAGGTTTGAAAATTCTATATTCATTCTTATATATTTCTATATAAGAAATATATACATCAACCATATTCACCTTCTTTATTTCCTTCCTTTGCTCTCCCCCTCCCCCTCCTGTTAGTGTCCTCTCAGCATGACCTGGTTTTCATTCTTGTCATTCATTGTTTAGGTGTCTATTCATTGTTTACTGGGATTTTTGCCTTGGTATCATACTTGTTCATGCATTGTGCTTAAGTCAATGTAACCCCCCATCCACTGCACTTCCTTGCCCTTTTCCCCCATCCTGTGTTTTTTAAGTTTTCAGTATGTTTCTTTGTATCTTGTTCCTACACAGATGTGATTATTTGCTACCTTTCCTTCTTTTCCTCCTCCCTTGGTCTCCTCTACCAGTCACCCTTTTGGGTACATGCTCTGTACATATTTCTATATAAACATAATATTGCTTGTATTTGTATTAGGCCTATAATTCCACATATGAGAGAAAACATGTAGCCTTTAGCTTTCTGAACCTGGATAACTTCACTTAAGATGATGTTCTCCAGTTCCATTCCTTTACCTGCAAATGACAAAATTTCATTTTTATTTATCACTGAGTAAAATTCCATTGTACACAAATACCACATTTTCTTAATCCAAGCTGTGGAGCATCTTGGCTGTTTTCATAGCTTGGCAATTGTTAATAATTCTGCAATAAACATGGATGTGCAGGTGTCTTTATTATAACCTGACTTATATTCCTTTGGGTATATCCCTAGAAGTGGTATTGCTGGTTTATATGGCAGTTCTACTTTTAGTTTTTTGAGAAGCCTCCATACTATTTTCCATAATAGTTGTACAAATTTACAATCCTACCAACAGTGTATGAGGGTTCCTTTTTTCCCACACCCTCACCAGCATTTGTTGTTGTTTGTGCTCTTCATGATAACCATTCTAACAGGAGTGAGGTAAGAAATTAACATTTTAAAGCACAATTTTTAAGGGCAAATTTTTGAGAAAGGCTAAAAATTTAAAGGACTTGTCAAGAAAGATGTGGAGCAACTTCCACTCTCATATAACACTGGTAGAAACATAAAAAGTACAACCCCTTTGGCAAACAGAAATCTTCTTAAATAGGTCAACCAGACATTCTAGGTTTCCTAGGTATTCACCAAGGAAAACAAAACATATGTACACACACAGATTTGCACACAAATGTTCAGAGTAGCGTGATTCATAACAGCCCCAAACTGGAAATCACCTAAATGTCCAATACTGTTAAATTTATAAGCAAATCATGGCATATCCATGCAATGGGTGCCACACAAGTGGACAGTCCTCTAGGAGGCTCTCTGCATTTCAGTGTAATGAAGTCCCTTGCCTAGAGCAGGTATTACCTACTTTGATAATTCACCTTCACCTCCCTAACTCATTTATCAAATTCTTTTATTACTGCTGCTATAATCATTTCCCAAATATTTCTTTTCATCCAAGTTTATCTCAGTATCTGAGATGGATCATTTCATGAAAAAAATGAAACTGAAGCCATATATTCACCATTGTGGGAATGGTTAAGAGAATTTGAGTAAATAAATATGACAAAATATTATGTACCCATTTAAAAATATTCATAAACAATGACACGAAAATGTGTTTGAGATAACAGGTTTTCTTTAAAGACCCTAAATTATAGATAAGATATATTAGCATCCATGCAAAATCAGTAGGGAAAAAACCTTACACAATGAGTTCTATATAGTAGTAAGAAATCAAAAAAATAGTAAGAAATCTGTGTCTCACAATCTGATATAACAAAAATACTTGATGAATTAATGAACATCACTGCAGCCAAACAAATAACAGTAAAACAAAAATATAATGAACCAATTATATCTTCATTTGTAATTTGTAAATCAAATTCATCATAACATAGTCATGAATCATTTAATGATGAGGATAATTCTGAGAAATGTATCATTAGGCAGGCAATTCTGTCATTGTGTGAACAACATAGAGTATATAGTGCTGGCACAAACCTAACTGGTATACACTACTACGCCCAGACTATACGAGACAGCCTATTTCTACTATGCTACAACCTACACAGCATGTACTGTACTGAACACACCAGCAACTGTAACACAGTGCTAAGTTATTTGTGTATCTGAACACATCCAAAAATAAAAGATCAAAAGGGTACATTTGTGGGGGGTCGAAGGACTAAGACATTACTATATATGACCATAGATTTGTAAACACTCTACACTTGAGCTACACTAAAAATATTTTTAATGTTTCTTTCTTCAATAAATTAACTGTAGCTTACTATAATTTTGTAACTTACATTTTAATTTAAAAAGCTTTTTGACTCTTTGGTAATAACATTTAACTTAAAACACAAACATATTATAGGCAAGAGGAATTTTTCAGTCCCATTTATAGTCTCATGGGTTCCCATCCTATATGTGATTCATCATTGACTAAAACATTGTTATGTAATATTTTAAAATATTAAAATATTTTTAATGTTTCTTTCTTCAATAAATTAACTGTAGCTTACTATAATTTTGTAACTTACATTTTAATTTAAAAAGCTTTTTGACTCTTTGGTAATAACATTTAACTTAAAACACAAACATATTATAGGCAAGAGGAATTTTTCAGTCCCATTTATAGTCTCATGGGTTCCCATCCTATATGTGATTCATCATTGACTAAAACATTGTTATGTGGCAGGCAGCTATAAGACTCATCCAGAAAATGCAAAGATAGTTCAATATTAGAAAACCTATCAGAGTAATTCACCATATTTTTAGAAACCAAGCTTTGAAACTGAATAGCCATTTAATAAAATTCAATAAAGGTGATCAAATATTTAGCAAACACCCAATTCAAACTATACTACAGAGCCATAACAATAAAAACAGCGTGGTATTGGCACAAAAACAGACAGGAAGACCAATAGGTCAGAATAGAAGATCCAGACATAAACCCATGTATCTATAGCCAACTGATCTTTGACAAAGAAGCTCAAAACACATAATGGAGAAAAGACAGCCTCTTAAAAAAAATGTTGCTGGGAAAACGGGATATTCACTTGTATATGTGAACCTAGATCTTTCTAGGTTCTTTCACCTTGTACCAAAATCAACTCAAAGAGGATCAAAGACCTTAATATAAAGCCTGAAACTTTGAAACAACACTAAGAAGTAGTAAGAAATAACCTGAAACATACAGGTATAGAGAATGACTTCCTAAGTAGAACTCAAAAGGCTCAGCATCTAAGAGAAAGAATGAGCAAATGGGACTGCATCTAACTGAAGAGGTTCTGCTCAGCAAAAGAAATAGTCACTAGACTCAAGAAATAGCCCACAGAATGGGGGAAAATCTTTGCCAGCTACTCATCTGATAAGGGACTAATATCCAGAGTCTATAGAAAACTCAAAAAACTCAACCCCCAAAGAATCAACATCCCAATGAAAAAATGGGCACATGAATAAAACAGGGTATTCTCAAAGGAAGAGGTACAAATGCCCAGTAAATACATGAAGAAAAGTGTTCAACTTCCCTGCTTATAAAAGAGATGCAAATCAAAACAACACTTAGATTTCATCTCACCCCAGACAGAATGGCCATATTCAAGGGCAATAACAATAAATGCTGATAAGTATGCAGCAAAACAGGAACCCTATACACTGACAGTGGGAATGCAAATTAGTACAACCACTATGGAAAGCAATATGAAGATTCCTCAAAAAAATTAAAGATAAAACTGTCAAATGATCCAGTGATATTGCTCCTGGGCATCTACCCAAAGGAATGTAAGTCAGGATACAGCAGAGACACCTGTATACCAGTGTTCATCACAGCACTATTCACAAGCTTTGGAAACAACCCAGATGCCCTACAACTGATGAATAGATGAGGAAAATGTGGCATATATATACAAAGGAGTTTTACTCAGCCATAAGGAATAATGACATGTGGTTTGAAGGCAAATGGATGCAATTGGAGGACATCATGTTAAGTGAAGTAAGCCAGGCTCAGAAAAAGACTTTATGTTTTCTCTCATACACAGAAGATTCAAGAAATAAACATATACACAAAAACAAGCATGATCATACACAAAGTCATATGAAGAACATGTTTGTAACAGTGGAACTACTCTATGGAACTAGGGAAAGAGGGAAAGGAAAAGAGAATGATAGAGCATCACTAATATCACCAAACCTAACCTCTGTGAAGGTAGAGAATATAAGGATGTGTACTGACAGCTGTTGAAAAATAGGGGGTGGGAGGAAAAGGGGTAAGGGAGAGTAATGGAAGGGGTTGAATGGACCAAAGTAAAGTATTCCCATAGTGGGCATATATTAAGAAAACCCTTTGACGTTCAACTTAAGTATTAAAAATGAAAGATAGGACTATAAAGTGGGTACAGTGGGGGAGTACCTGTGGGATGGGGAAGGGTGAATGAAGGAGATTAAGATGAGGGTATATGGTGGATGGACTGCATATACCTATATGAAACAGAACAAAGAAACCTCTTGCAATTGCTTTAAGTGGGGTGGGGAGAGGGTTGGAAGGAGAGATGATTGGGGCGATATAACTAATCAGAATTGTCACTATGAATCCCCTCCTGTATAATTAATATATTGTAATAAAAAAATTTAAAAAAAAAACACTTCCTTAACTTGATAAATCATGTTATAGAAACATCTATTATGCATCAGGCTCTGTCCTGCACTGAAAAGAGAGGCCACAGTACCTAACATCACAGAGTTTAAAATCAACTGAGGGGTACAGGTAAATAATCAGAGAATGACAATACACAAGGTAAGACACACTGACAAGAGAATGAGAGGGTGCCGTAGCAACATAGGAAGGGCAGCAGAACTGACTTTGCAGGAAACAATTACCTCAGAAGATGATTAATACCTCTGGGAAAAGACCAGAGCTATTTTCATCTGTGTGTTGCCCAGTATCTAAAACAATGTCTAGCACAAAGTAACTTTTCAGTGTTTCTTAAATGAGAAAAGACTAAATAGTGACCTTGGGATCTATTAAATATCAGGTACAAAATACTTATAAATTGCATAATTTACTCTACAGTTGATATTATCTAAAGAGTTCATCTGCATCCAAATACACCACCATGCACACACACACATTCATTACATACCCATTAGCAATCCTAAATACTTACGGATACAAGGGATTTGTATTGGACAGACAGAGTGTGTGTGTTTTTACAGGTTCCACAGCTATTAACATGTCTTGTTCTACAGCCATAGGAAGAACAGAATATCCACAGTAATCTATGTGCTCTCCTAGAAAAAAGAGAAAGCATTTTTTAATCATTGTTGGCACATTAAGCAAAAGAAGCTCAAGTAAGTTGACACACAGTATAAAACATGACCATGAGCCAGAAAATAAAAATACTATGAGCAAAGAGCTATTCAATTTCCTTTTTACCCTAGATATCAGTCAGGAACTTCTGCTGTCATAAGTATATTAGTTAGTTTTAGTTAAATTTGAACTTCTTTTCTTCTTAAGCATTTTTTTGCAATTTTGATTTTACAATGATCATTTTCAAACAGTTTTGTCATGTAACTAGCTATAAGAGCATTAAGAAAATTAATACCTCCATCCTCTGTTGCCCCCTAGTATTATCTTTTTGAATATGAAAAGTGAAGCCTTAAGAACACTCTCCCTTACATTAGCATTATTTGAATTCCACTCTCTCCCTTACCAGCTGATGAGCTCACTAAAGGTAAGGACTACGCTCACCCGTGTGGCCTAATCAAATGTCTAACGATTAGATCAATACTGATAAGTCACGTTTAACATGCCTGACATACAATGAAAAAGAAAAAGAAACTAGAAAAATATATCTAATCTGTACTTTTAATGTATAAGCAAATAAAGGAAACAAACTATTCTTTCTAGTTCTTCTATGAATCTCCAGCAGAAAAAGTTTTCCTATTACACTGTACTGCTTTATGCAAGTTACCATTTAAACTCAAGATCGTTATTCATAAGACTTAAACACAAAATAACAAATTCAAGAAAGATGGACTAAGAGCTGGGGCATGGCTCAAGTGGTAGAGTGCCTGCCTAGCAAATGAAAGAACCAGAGCTCAAAACCCAGTAACAGCAAAAAAGAAAGAAGGAAGGGAAAGTGGGAGGGAGGGAGAGAGGAAGGAAGGAATGTTCATTGATATGGAAGATAATAATCAACTAGGAAACACAAAATTAATAGAAGACAATTCAACTGGTCAAATTATATTTTTGTTCTATATATTATGACAAGGAACAAGCCTTGTTTCAACAGTGATATACTCTTTAAAATGGAATAATAAAGTTTTTATGGATTAATAACGATAGATGGAAAACTGGCTCAGAGTTATCTATCTACCCAACTAAGTTCAAAAAGACAATATGAAGCAAATAGAAAACATGTATTCAAATAAGCAGAACCGTGCTGGGTGTGATACATAACCTAATCCCAGCTACTCAGGAGGCAGAGATTGGGAGGATCACAGTTTGAGGCCAACCAGGCAAAAAAGTTATTGAGACAATCTCAATAAAAAGCTGGGCATGGTAGCATGCATCTGTCATCCCTGCTACTTGGCAGGCATAGGTAAGAGGATTATAGTCCACCCAGGCAAAACGATCCAGACCTTAACTGAAAATAACTAAAACAGAAAGGGCTGGTGGTGTGGCTCAAATGAGACAGTGCCTACCTGGCAAGCACAAAATTATCACCATAATAATAGAAGCTGGAAGATAAGTACATGGAAGTTCATTGTACTATTCCACTTACATCTTCATACATTTCCATTTTCCATGATAAAAAGTGTTTTTAATTCTTCTTTGACCCTTGGATTTTTCTTAACTTTTCATCCCATTTTCTCACTATAAAATTTATTAAACTAAGAGAAAGAATGGACAAATGGGACTTCATAAAATTAAAAGGCTTCTGCACAACAAAAAAAATAGTCTCTAAACTGAAGAGACCACCCACAGAGTGGGAGAAAATATTTGCCAGCTACACATCAGACAAAGGACTGATAACCAGAATATATAGGGAACTTAAAAAACTAAATTCTCCCAAAACTAATGAACCAATAAAGAAATGGGCAAGTGAACTAAACAGAACTTTCTCAAAAGAAGAAACTCCCAAAACTAATGAACCAATACAGAAATGGGCAAGTGAACTAAACAGAACTTTCTCAAAAGAAGAAGTTCAAATGGCCAAAAAAACACATGAAAAAATGCTCACCATCTCTAGCCATAAAGGAAATGCAAATTAAAACCACGCTAAGATTCCACCTCACCCCTGTTAGAATAGCCATCATCAAAAACACCACCAACACCATGTGTTGGCGAGGATGTGGGGAAAAGGAACCGTCGTACACTGCTGGTGGGAATGCAAGCTAGTGTAACCACTTTGGAAAAAAATTTGGAGGCTTCTTAAAAATCTAAACATAAACCTGCCATATGATCCAGTAATCCCACTCCTGGGGATATAGTAAGGGAATGTAACACAGGTTACTCCAGAGGCACCTGCACACCCATGTTTATTGCAGCACTATTCACAATAGCCAAGTTATGGAAACAACCAAGAGGTTGTTGATGAATGGATCAAGAAAATGTGCTACGTGCACACAATGGAATTTTACTCAGCCATGAAGAAAAATGAAATCTTACCATTTGCAGGTAAATGGATGGAACTGGAGAACATCATTCTGAGCAAGGTCAGCCAGGCTCAGAAGACCAAAAATCATATGTTCTCCCTCATATGCGGACGTTAGATCTAGGGCAAATGCAGCAATGTGGTTACACTTGGATCACAAGAAAAGGGGACAGCACACAGGGGAGATATAGGAATAGGTAGAAAACCCAAAACATGAAAGCATTTGATGTCCCCACTCCAGAGGAACTAATACAGAAACCTTAAAAGGACAGGTTATCACTAGCAGGGGATCAGGAACCAATGTAAAGATCAGTTAGAGTTGAATCAACATAGGTCATAACACATGGGTACATGAGAGCAATAGTAGGAATCTTTCTGTATAGCTATCCTTAACTCAACTAGCAAAAACTCTTTGTCTTCATTATTATGCTTATGTCTTTTCTTCAACAAAATCAGTCACAAGGGAAGAATGGGACTTGCCTGAAACTGAGGAGGGGAGGGGGGAAAGGGAGGGGAGGGGGGAAAGGGAGGGGAGGGGGGAAGGGTGGGGGAGGGGGGCAGGGTGGAGAAATGACCCAATGTATGTACACGTGAATAAATGAACAAAAAAAAATAAAATTTGGTATTTATACACGATGGAATTTTACTCAGCCATGAAGAAGAATGAAATCTTATCATTCACAAGTAAATAGATGGATCTAGAGAACATCATTCTGAGCAAGGTTAGCCAGGCTCAGAAGATCAAAAATCGTATGTTCTCCCTCATATGCGGACTTTAGATCTAGGGCAAATACAGCAATGTGGTTGGACTTGGGTCACATGACAAAGGGAGAGCACACAGGGGAGATATAGGAATAGGTAGAAAACCCAAAACATGAAAGTGTTTGATGTCTCCACTCCAGAGTATCTAATACATAAACCTTAAAGCATCAGAGGTCAATATGGGAAGGGGATCAGGAACTAGTGAAAAGATCAGTTAGATCTGAATCAACTTGGGTTATAACACATTTGTATATGAAAGCAATGTTAGGAATCTCTCTGTATAGCTACCCTTAACTCAACTACAAAATGCCTTGTCTTTCTTATTATGCTTATGTCTTCTCTTCAACAAAATTAGAGATAAGGGCAGAATGGCAGGGGGGGGGGGGAAATGACCCAAACAATGTATACACATGTGAATAAATGAATAAAAAAAATTATTCATACTAGAGGTCACCAATATAACTTTCTCCAAAACACTTTTCTAGCCCCTTCAAATCTGGATGGAATAACCTTCCTAAAAATTTATATTATACCTGTTCTTCCCTATAAATTTTTTTTTAATTTCATCTGTAGATATCTTTGTTCAAATGGAATTTTATATGGACATAAAACAAGTACAAAAGATAGCCAGGAACAAGTGGCTCATGCCTATAATCCTAGCTACTCAGGAGGTTGAGATCAGGAAGATCACAGTTTGAAGCCAGCCTGGGGAAGTAGTTCAAGAGACCCTATCTCAAAAAACCCTTCACAAAAAAGGGCTGGTGGAGTGGCTTAAGGTGAAGGCCCTGAGTTCAAGCTCCAGTATCAAAAAAAAAAAAAGATAAACAAGGGGCTCCTCTTGTTGAGCCTTTGTATGGCCGATGTCCCTATACAATCCCTGAACAAACTAAAATAGCATTTAAGAAGTCCATCATAATTGCTATTGGACTGGAAGGTCTGAGGGTGGGACTATGCCTATTCATTCTTTCCAGGTCTAACATCAGGCCTGCCACGTAAAAGATGCACAATAAATCCATGGGATGAAAGAATGAATGAAAGACCTCCTTTTGGTAAAATCTGTGGGCCTTCTCCATTCCATAGGTCTCATGTGTAGCACCTGAAACATGTCTCTTTTTTGATATGGTCTTTTCCTGCACTTCCAAGATAGCATTTATGATAGTTCATTTCATGTGTTGACTTGATTATGGGATAGCTAGGCAGCTGGTGAAGTGTTGTTTCCGGGTGTGCCAGGAAGGATGCTTTCAGAGGAGACTGACATGTGATGGAGTGAGTGAGGAAGATCTGCCGTAAATATGGAAGGACACCAGTCAATTGTTTGGGGATCCAGATGGAACAAAAAAGCAGAAAAAAAGGAAATTTCTCTCTCTCTCTCTCTCTCTCTCTCTCTCTCTCTCTCCCTCCCTCCCCCCTCCCACTTTCTTCTCCTGCCTTTGGACATGAGAACTCAAAGTTCTCCAGCCTTTGAACTGTGGGGCTTGTACCAGCATCTCTGGGTTCTGAAACTTTCTACCTTGAGTTGGGAATTATACCACCAGCTTCCCTGGTTCTAAGATCTTCAAACTTAGTTTCCCTGTTGCTCAGACTCCAAATAGGACATTGCGAGTCTTCTTAGCCTCCATAATCTTGTGAGGCAATTCCTCTAATAAATCCCCTCTCATAGTATAGCCTATTGGTTCTGTTTCTCTGAGTAAAACACCATTCTTTCCTGGTTTTCCTCCTCCTTGTCTGGCTTTTCATCCTCATTCTCTTTGTGGGACCCATTTCCTCTGCTCTTTGTTAAATATTCCTGTTCCCAAGGCTCCCATCTTCAGTGTTCTGCTCTTCTCTTTATTTATACCTTCATTTTCTAGCTATGTCCATTGACCCAAATCTATATCTTCAGTCCCATGTTTCTCTCAATAATCTTCAGAAGCACATTCCAATGCCTCTTTTCCAAATTCCTAAGGCATTTCAAACTAAAAAAAATATGCTTATAGTATTCTCTTCCAGGATCCCCTTGCTTAGAAAAAAGTACCAGAATCTACTCATTTGTTCAAACAGAGCTCATCACTCAGTCCTTGTAGCTAACCACCTTGTGACAGAAAGCCAGGGCAAAGACCCAAAACTTCTGCTGCTAAGTTCTTCAGTACTGCCTCTAGTCTAATTCAAGTATCCATGAAGTCCAGATGCATTTTGGATTTCTATTGTCAAAAGAAGAGATCATGTGAAGATATAAATTAATTGTTCTTAATAATTTTAGACTCTAGTGCTTCTGTAAGAAAAGGCAGTTCCTTATGGAGACAAGACTATCCAAATCAAAAATAGCAGGTATTTGAGACACTATTAAGACCATAACTGAACATGTACACAATGAAGAGAAATAAAAAGTCACCTCCTCTATTTCCATTCCTCAGGAAGGTATGTGTTGCATAAAGGCCTAAGGCTTATTTTGGTGATAATACTTTTATACAGAAAAGTTTTTAATTCTTCTACCTCCCCTTCAAAAAAGAGCTGAAAAACTGGCCTCAGGACAAAATGATATATTAAGTCTACTAAAAAGCAAGGAGACTCCAGTTTCAGCACAAGAAACTTTCTGTCTAGAGTCCCTGGAATAGAAAGAGCTTTAGAGGCCAGTGAGTGTGAGCACACTCAAGGTACAGGTTTGAGACTATTGGTCTATATTTCTTCCCCTTTATCACAGGGATGTCTATCTTGGGCCACTTGAAGGTTGCTGGGTTTTGACCTATTCAAGTGGCCCAGACACAGATCAGTTCCAGTAGAGAGGGCTCCATTTATCTGATGAGTTTTGGTCCTTACCCCACTTCCAGAATCCATCATGCTAGGATTTGAGCCAGGTAAGGCTGTGGGAAGAACCACAAGTGAGCCAACCTCTGTGTTCTACTTAAGAGAAGAATGGGAAGGGCTGCTTGGGATAGCTGGGGCTGATGTAGGCTGTCTCTTTTGCTATCTCTCTACTCTGAATCTTTAGTTTGTGGATGCACTCAGGTCCTTGAGAGGTATATAGCTAGCATCTCTTAGTATGCCTATTCCTCAAAATGCTGGATGCTTTCCTGGGTCTATTTTGTGATCAGAGAATTCATGATGACATGGGAAGCTTTAGGCTTCACACCCAGGACTTGTCCATACTGTCAATGGCAGATAACAGGATCAAGGCAGAGGATATGCCAGCCTCTTCTTCCTCTACTATACAAGGTACTGATACTTGTGCTCTGGAATCACTGGTTTCCAAAGAATGCTGCCCCTGTCCAATGAAGGAGAAATTAGGGAGGTAAGGTCTTCAAGGGCATTATCATAACTGAATGCCCAGTGGCACACCCCACTGGGCATCTTGCCTTAAGGCCCACTAGGTTCGCTAACAGGCATTTCTGATTGTCTTGAAGCTGCTCAAAGTCTGGGATCCAGGTGCTTTATCTATGTAGAATTCCAAGCTAAATCCCTGCTACCATAGTGAAATGATGCAATGACTCTGGTTTCTCTTCAAGTCTCATAAATATTTCACCTTTTACTAAAGAAATGGTGTGATGGCTATGCTGACAAACATGTTAACAAGAACACTGTCCAGCTGTTGCAAATTAACAAAGCATCCAGGGAGAGTCCATCCAGAGGTTCCCCGCTTCAGTGAAGCCACCAATGCCCTAAATCCCAGCACCGAAAAGGTTCAGAGGACCCACATCTCTTAAAGGGCTGTGGCACAATCCATACCCAAGCCATGCTGGGACTGGTAGCAATTCTGAAGGTCTCCAGCACCCTTGAGGGAGCACTGGCCCTGGATCCTGCTCTTATAAGACCCTTTCTCTCCCTTGTTGCTAAATACACACAAACAACGCACTCTCTGTTATTTGAACTGACTAAATGAATCCTTTTGTTTTACTTGGAGTCGTTTGGCTACAAAGGAAATAATTTACACGAGGCAATTCCTATATGGTTGATTTCCTATAGCATCTTTTAAATATAGCATAAAACCAAACTGCACACTTTATAAAACAATTCCACCAAAAAGTCAAATGCTAAATTTATTGAATGAATTCTCTAATAGTCTGGTCAAAATGGACTCTATGGTACACCATGTAAAAGAATCAGTGGAGGGGTTGGGGGTACGGTTTGGTGCCTATCAGGTGTGAGGCCCTCAATTTGATTCTCAGCAATGTAAAACAAAAAGAAAGAGTGGACATCATAACTTTCAGGGCATCTTTTATGGTGGTGTCTTTTGAAAAAGGGTCTTAAAGAATAGACATAAATTGGGCATAGACTGCATGTGGGGTAAAGGTATTCCAGATGGAGAAAAGGACATGAGGAAAACCAAAGATGGAGTAACAAAAAATGTGAAATCAACTCAACCCTTCCAACATCAACTAAGTACATCCTAAACAAGTAAATAAAAAACGAGATGGATATCCTTCAAGGTTTTAAGGGTTAGCTGGCATTCACCATGTCCCTTATACTCTGGACCTAGACAGGAACTAGCCACTCGAGCCACTTTTAGGACCAAGTAGCCAGAGGACGCTCAAAAATGAGCAGAAGCAGTTTCTCCTCCTGATATTCCTGGCAGCCAACATTTAAACCAGCCAGCCCAGTCTGATAGAATATTCAAGAATATGGAAATGTTCTATGCCTGTGCTGTCTAATACAGTAACCACTAGCCACATGTGGCTACTGAGCATTGAACAGTGGCTGGCGCACTGTTTATTTTACTTCACTTTAATTAACTTAAGTTTAAATAGTCACATGGGGTTAGGGGCTATTGTGACAGATAGTACAAACGTACAAACGCATGATTCATATCCTCAACTAAGGTAAAAATACTCTTTTTATCATCAAAGAAGGTATGGTAAGTGGCGTCATGAGCAACATTTCAACAATATCTCCACAGTAAACTTAATAATGGAACTCATAATGTTAGAGACAAATAAGAAGGTACAACTTGTTGAAAACAACTCTGCATGAGAAGTATGCATATTTCTGAAATACAACTTGATCTAAAAAGAACTTAGAAGCTAGCAAAATAAGTTCCACATGTCCTCAAAAGAATGCTCCATTAATATTTATTTCAACAAAAATTCAAATGATAGCAATCTTGCTCATCAGAAAAAAAACACTTATAAATTCCCTTTGTGGAAAACAAGAACTTAAATCCCATGAAAAGGGGTGCATTCTTCATTCTACCTACTTCTTTCCACCTGAAAAAAACCTCACCAGAAATAATAAAATGATAACATGAATAACACTATTCTCATTAATGTATGATGAAAGAAAACTATTAAGTAAATTATAGAATGTCAATTTAGTAGGCTATTATGAAGGCATTATAATAACTCTGATCTCTATAGAAACATGGAAAAATATGTGTGATGTTAAATGATAAAACGGTATATAATCTAAAATTGTATCAATTATTATATACATATGGAGATAGAAAGATTGTAGACAAAATTGTTTAAAAAGCTATTATTTACTACTAAAATGTAGTAAAACTCAAAAGCATTTCACAGGATAAACAAAAGATAAATACACCTAGAAAATCAGAAAAAATATGGACTACATTTTTTTTGGTGATATTGGGATTTAAACTCAGCCTCTTACTTGCTAGGCAGGCTCTCTACCACTTGAGCCACACCCTCAATCCTGGACCCCATTTTTGCAAGCGAAGAATTATAAGGTTTCCAAGTGTCCTCTCCAACTCAAGGAATAAATAAAAAGCCATCAGAATTACTTACCATAGTCTAAAATGACCTATGGCATAGAAGAGATTTTCATCTTCCTCAAAAACAGTATTTACAATTGAGTAAATAATACTCAAATGATAAACAAATTAATAGATTTAGAAAATGACTGGACAAAATTATCATTAATAACATGGATTTGGAAAGATGAAAGTGTGTTCCTTATGTAAAAACATATCTCACAATCAGGTATCAGTAATCCTAGTTACTTGGGAAGCTGAGATTGGGAGGATCACCTAGGCCAGCCCAGACAAGTAGTTTATGAGACCCCCATCTCCAAAATAACCAAAGCAGTATAGACTAGAACAATATAGCTCAAGTGGTAGAGAGCCTGCTTTGTGAGCGACTGCTTTGCAAGCACAAAACCCTGAGTTCAAATCCTAGTCCCACCCAAAAAAAAAAAAAAAATATTCTGTTTAGGGGGAATATTAAGAAAGAAGTATAGTAACAAATCTTACCAGAAAGGGAAAATTAAGAGAAGGAACTTTTGAAATACCTATTATGTTGACTCTTCCTGGTGCTCGAACATAAAACTTGGGTATGGATCCAAACTTAGAGTTAAACATCTCTTTTAGCTTCAGCAATCTGCAAACGAGAGTAGAATATTTCAAAATATTATATACAGAAAGCCCATGATAGCTGGGGATAGAGCTGAGTCATAGAGTGAATGTGCAGCATTCACTGACCCTGGGTTCAATCTCCAGCACTGCAAAAAGAAAAAAAAAAACCCTAAGATGCACACACACACACACACACACACACACGCACACTTCATGTAACTATATAGCTAATCACACTGAAGAATTAAAAAGTTACCATTGATATACCCATTAGAAAAAAAAAAGCTATTTCCTTTCATTAGGAAGAATGTAACAACTGTCAATATAATTTTTAATGGCATTCAAGGAAGAATCTCTTTATAATGAAAGGAATTGTGTATTTATTTCCTAAGGCTGCCATAGTAAAGAACCGCAAACTGAGTGGCTTAAAACACCAGAAATCTATCATTTCACAGTTCGAACCTTTCCTTCAAGTGAATGGCTTCTCAGTCCTTTGCACTCCCTGGCTTGTAAATGCATCACTCCAATTTCTGCCCTTGTTGTCACATGGCATTCTCCCTGTGTCTCTAACTCTCCGTGCCTATGGTCACATTGAATTAAGGCCCACTCTACATGAGTATGACTTCACCTTAATTTGATTACATCTACAAAGATGCTAGTCCAAACGAAGTAACAGTCTAAGGATCCAAGTCACCATGAATTTGAGGCGGTACAGCATTAAACCCAGTAAAGGGAGTCAGATGAAAATCAAATGGACATCAGGGGTCCACAGTTACAAATCTAATGGGTCCTCTAATTCAATGCCATAGTTTGGGAAGTCACTTTACCTTGACCTCTGTTCTCTAAAACTAGAATTTGAACTAAACATTATTTTATTTTTTTATTGTTGTGCTGAGGGTACACTGTGGCATTTACAAAAGTTCTTACAATATATTAAATATATCATATTTGAATTCATCCCCTTCATCATTCTTTTTTATTCTCCCCTCCCCCCATTCCTGGAATAGTTTCAACAGGTAAACTACTGTAATTTGATACCAGCAAAGCATGTTCTTTGAATAGCTCGCACATCACATTGTGCCTAAGCAATAATGCCAGTACAGTACATACTTATTAGAGACTATCATGTTCAAAAAAACTGAGTAATTAATTGGTCTTAGGGATTTACTGGTTGCAAGAAATAGGAACCCACAGAAAAAGTTCAAAAGAAAATGTAAATGTAGTATGATGATAGAAAGGTATGTTAAGTAGTGTTGGAAGTTATTCAAGCTAGCCTTCTGGAAATTGAAGAAGTCATCAGAAACTCTGTTTATATTGGTGTCTTTGGTGCTCTCTCTTCCTGCCTCTTTCTCCCACCCTACCAAGGACATCATCCCATTTCTGTCTTCTCAGTACACCATACATTCTCCTGCCTCTGTGAGCCTTTTAGTTTCTGTTCCTCCACACCTTCAGTTTTTATGACACTGTAGCTTGACTCTACAAGACTTAACAGCTCCAATGTCCTGTTCTATCTGTCCTATACAGCTCTGTGTCCTTCAGTTTAAATTGTCAAAGAATATGTTTGGCAGAGTTTGGGCCTTATATCCATCATGGCCCAATCATCTATGGTAAGGTTATTTGTTACAAATAAAATCACTTATTTTAGGTACAAATATGATCGAGTCCACTCCTTTAGCAGAAGCTATGGAGGACACAATAGATCTCAACAGAAGACAGCGACTGATATCTCTAACAAATTATTCAACAAACATTTACTGGACTCTCAGTTAGATATAGACTATGATGGCTACCTAAATCTTTTATCTTCCAAAAACAATCAGAATGACAAGAACAAATAAAAAAAGCACGTCTTCCATATAACTAGAAGATAGAAAATGTCAAATCTTATCTATTTCAATAGAAAAAGAAAGACCACACTGAGCAAATAGAAAAAGAACTTGAGTGAAAGAAAAAAAAGAGGAGAAAAATGAAGATTAATCTACAACCACCACCAGAAAGAAGGGTCCACTCAGTTAAAATAAGGATGTTTAGAGGGAAAAGATGAAATAGAGGGATCTCATTGATTGCAAAGTGGGTAACGAGTAGTTAAAGGATAAATTAAAAAACCGAAAAAGCAAAGATTTGTTCAAGTTATGGTACAGATACATATAGGGATATTATTAAAATATACACACGTACAAGTGTGTTAGGCAATGCAGTTAGGCAGACCTGGGCTTAAATCTCTTTTCTATACATAATGAAATTCATTAACCTCACTCACCTTCAAATGGGATGGAAATATGCTATGAATTCCATAGAGTTGTCGAGAAGATTAAAGAAGGTAGTATAGAACCAGTGTCTAGCCCAGCCTTGACATGGAGTAAGTGTTTAATAATGGTTATATTATTACATCTTGATTCCTGGGTTTGGTATCAGTTCTAGTCTGCAGTGTGTAAATAAGAATGCATTGGAGGAAATGAGAAATGGTCAGTAATTAGCATATGTCTGTGTCAGAACTGCAAGTACTGCCATAGCACTGGGTAATTTTAATGATGCTATTGATAAAACTTGGTGCCCTCTGTTCACCTTGTTCCACTTTACAGTGAAGGTTGAAACAGCTGAGGTTGTTTGTCCAGATTCTAAAAAGAATGATTTAAAGTGTTTTTCAAATAGAAAAATAAAACTGACAAAGCAGATAGTAAAAGCTTAAATAAGAAAAACTATTTTCTGGGTCAGGTAGGTCACTCAGACCTGTAATTGCAGTTACTTGAGAGGAAGAGATAGGAAGATCACAGTTCAAGGCCAGCCTAAGCCAAAAAGTTAGCAAAACCCCATCTCAACTGACCATCCAGGCATGGTAGAACACACCTATGATGAAAGGAAAAAAAGAGAAAAGGAAGAGAAGAGAAGAGAGAGAAAGAAGGAAAGGAGAGAGAGAGAGAAGGAAGAGAACGAAGGAAGAGAGGAAGAAAGAAAGAGTAAGGAAGGAAGGGAGAAAGGGAGGGAAGAAGGAAGGAAGGGGAAGGAAGGAACAGAAGGAAGAAAACAGTCCCTTAGTTTCTAAGGGCACTAAAATGAACATAAGCACCAAGGTAACCAACAGCACAAAAACACAATTTTCCTAAGTACTAAACAAATTTCCAAAATAATGGAATAAAGCAAAATAACTGATAAACACAGAAAATATATCCTAACACATAATTATAAAATATGATGGAATGAAATAAAACATATCAAGTTACATTAATAAATATGACAGGGCCTACCACACCTATTCAAACCAAAAGATTTGCCATTTGGATTCTAAAACAATACTGAACTATACGCTATGTAAGAGACATAACTAAATGTGACTCATATAGACTAAATGCTAAGACATAAAAGTATTCCAGACAAATGGAAGCCACACAAAAACAGTGGGAATAATCCTGATATCAGACATTATAGAATTTAAACCAAAAGATGGCCTCAAATTCACTATGTAGCATAGGCTGGGATTAAAATTTACAATCCTCCTGACTCAGTTTCCCAAGTGTTAGGATTACAGGAGTGTGCCACCATGCCCAGCACAGGATACTGCTTAATACCAAGAGCCACAAGTCAAAAATAGGTATGCGCTAAGAAATGCTCTAAATGAAACAAAAAAAACTATAAGGCAAAAACCATAGGCAATGTAAGAAAATATGGATAGAAATAGAGATTATAAAACAACTTCTCCATAGATCATTCAGATAAAAAACATACATAGAAAAGACTCAGACAACAAAATCAATAGATTTTATGGGTACATACAAAACTCTGACCTCAATGCACCAAACATGAAATAATTAACAAGAACAAATCATAGAAAGCTTCTCCCTGCCTGAAATTTCTTAAGTCACTCTTGACTAGAGAAAAAGAAATGAAAGCATAGCCTTTCTAAAAATAATAATAATGATAATGATAATATTGAAAATACTATGCTGATGGAGTGACTCAAGAGCACCTGCCTAGCAAGCCCGAGGCCCTGAGTTCAAACCCAAGTACCATTAAAAGAAAAAAAAAAAAACAGGCTGGGGGGCATGGCTTCAAGTAGTAGAGCACTTGCCTAGCAAATGCAAGGCCCTGAGTTCAAACTGCCAATATATATACCTAGAAATAAACTTAACAAATGTGGGAAACCTATGTGAGTGTTTTAAATAGACTTTAAAAACTGGACAAAAACTCTCAAGTATTTAAGGTTAAAAAGGCATGTTAGATAAAAGTTATGGAAGGCCATTGTTTTGGGCTGAGCTCCTGCACTAGGATCTAGCAAACCAAACCAAACCAAAATGGAGTTAAGGGAGGGCACTGGTCATCAGCCTAACTAACTCCATGTTGTTCTCTTTGGCTCTATTTGTGTCTCTTTAATTTTTGCCTCAAGTCTCTCTTGGAATCCAGGAAGGACAGGACTGCCCCATTAACATCTGGTGACAAGAGTAGGAACTATCCCTAGGAACAGCATAGGCTTATAGAACAGACTACCCCCAAGTGAGGGAAATTATCTAAAATGATGAGGCTGCACCCCTCATGGGAACCAAATTGCTCCCCTCAGTGATGTCTGTGATAACGACTTTTCTGGAATACCTCAAAAAAAAACAGAACTGTGACAAGGATCCCTGGCCTGGCCAAGAACACCCACTCTTTCAAACCCTTCCTTTGTCTCTCTTTTCTACAAAACCTCAAAGTTCCTAAGCCTCTCAACAACAATCTTGTGGTCACTAAACCCATTTATCTATCTTCTTGTCACGACTGCATTCAATTAAGATAAGTGGCCAAACCTAGTCCATTTGGGACTCCCAGAATCTGGGCTTTTCTCCCTAAAACTCCAGTTACAGAGTCACTCAAACTAAAGTTCCATGCCATCAAACAGAACCTAAGTTGTTTCTCTGACCTTCTGAGCAATAAGGAGACGACCAAATTCCTGAACAGGCCAAACTGACCCAGCATGGTAGCCAAGCCTCCTCTGTCTTAACCCTCACAAATACCCTGAAGTAACCTAATACTAACCAATCTGCTCTTTGTACT